GAGAGATGGAAAGAGGAAAAGAACCAGGACCAGTGCAGGCTCTTGAAGCACCCTGGAACTATGTGGGCTTCAGATCATGGTCGGTATCTTGCCTGGATTGAGGATCTGCATCCATCTGGACTGTCTGGTACATCAGTGGTTATCTGATGTGGTCGGGCGGATCTGCATTGCTACATTTACAAGGTCCAGTGAGTCTGGAGCTTCTGATGGTTATCCCTAGACACCTAGAACCCCTATACAATCTCTCCCAAAGAAGATGTTCAATAAACTGTTTACTTAGCATTCTAACATTGAAGTGGATGTTAGTTTATGGGCATCAGAAGAGGGCGGATAGTGCTAATGGGCGCAGCTGAAGATCAACCAATAGACCGACTAGATGTGGACCGGGCACACAGCGGCTCACACCGGGGAGTTATGGCTACATAATAATAGGACTACTAGAAGTAGAGCTGAAAATAAAGCTGTCAATAAGGCAGCAGGGTGGATCCCAACAAAATTATCAGGATCTTTCCTGAATGCGGCACAGCTCTGCAGTTGGGAAAGAGTTTGGCTCTGAGATTGGTTCACAGGAGTACATTATAAAATGTACACTTACTGTATTGTATGTGTGTTTTTTGTTATATTTTGAAAATCTTTAATAAACATTTAATATGAAAAAAAAAAAAAAAAAAAAAAAAATGTACACCCTGGGACCTAAAAGAGTGCTAAAACCCAAAAAGTTTTGGCTATAGTTTTTTTTCTTTTAAACTAGGGATGCACCGGTAACATTTTCCAAGACCGATTAGGAGTACCAATACTTTTCCTCAAGTATTTGCAGATACCAATTAACAATATCTATATGTGTCATGTGACAGTTTTGCTAAAACAATACAGAATAATGATTTTAGAACAGTAGTGGAGTGCCAGAGCCAGGTCCCAGCTGCTGCGACTCTGGTAGTTCTGCACTGATTCCAAGCTGTAGAGGGACTACAAATCTCAGCAATACATTATACAGCCATGCAGAATAACAGTCTTATTCTGCATGGCTGTATAATGTACTGCTGGGATTTGTAGTCTTATATAGCAGTTGCCATTCAGGATTGCTGTATAATGTATTGCTGGGATTTGTAGTCTTTCATAGCTAGTGGTTTTCTGCATTGCTGTATAATCTATTGCTGGGATTTGTAGTCCTCTATATCTGATTGCTTTCAGCATTGCTGTATATTGTATTGCTGGGATTTATAGTCCTCTATAGCCAGTTGCCATTTGGCATTGATGTATAACGCATTGCTGGGATTTGTAGTCATCTATATCCGGTTGCTTTTGGCATTGCTGTATATTGTATTGCTGGTATTGATAATCCTCTATATCTGATTGCTTTCAGCATTGCTGTATATTGTATTGCTGGTATTTATAGTCCTCTATAGCCAGTTGCCATTTGGCATTGCTGCATAATGTATTGCTGCGATTGGTAGTCCTCTTTAGCCCATCAGCTAAAGAGGACTACCAATCCCAGCAATACATTATACAGCAATGGAGAATAATATGAAACAACTACATACTCTGTGCTTCTTCGGGGTGCCTGCCTGATGTCTTCAGGGCTTCAGGAGAGCTGTGGAGGGTCTCAGGAGTGCTGTGGAGGGTCTAACACGTGGGTGAGGATAGCGGAAGTGCTGTAAGCAGCGTTGTGTTAAAGCGCTGCGCAAACTGTTGGCGCTATATAAATCCTGTATAATATTAATAATTGTGTGGTTCCCCAGTAAGAAGGAGCAGATTTGCGGGCCAGCGCTGTAAACAGGCGCCGCCTGGTTCCCAAAAAGGCTGCCAAGGTCCCCCAGAAGTGCAGGACCTCAGGCAGTCAATTCAGTTAAAAAAATGTAAATAGCTAATATTGTCCTTTTAGTATCGTGTATGAGTACTTGTGAAAATGCCCTATATCGGCACAGATATCGGTATGGGTTCATCCCTAATATTAACCTCAGACTCGTCAGAAGTAAGGACTTTAAAGACCGAGCCCCTAAACCTTCAGATGATCCATAGGGAGGCAAAAACCCCTTGGCTGAATTACCTCCAATGGGGAAAACAATCTTCCCTGACCCCCCATAAGGTGATTGGATGATCCCTGAAGCATCAGCCTAGGGTGCCCAGTTAATCTGCCGGTAAAATGCCCATAATGTAAGGTATATTTATTGGACTTTGGAGTACGTTGATGATCAGTCAGCTTTCAAGGAGAACCATTGGCCGAGTAAAATGTACTCCTAACAGTTGGGGTCGGCGTGTAACACTGCAGCTTTCAGTCGTCGGTTCTATTGAGAACTGAGTGATCACAAACCGCTGTGTGTTCAGATTACGGCTTCTCTCTGCAGAGAGAGGCGGCTATAAGTCTCCGCTCCCCGTAGGGATTCCCCTCTCTCGGTTCCTCCAGCTCTCATTGGAGGTACAGACAGGGGAGGAGGTGGGCTCAGCTGGTTATGGCTCCTATAGAGGCAGAGTCAGCTGTCAATCAGGCAGCGGGGTGGATCGTGACTATACAGTTTTATTGTCGGGATCTTTCCCGGCTGCAGCACAGCCCTGCACTGTTAGCATATAGTGAGCAGTAGCCTGCTATATGCTGAGTTTGGGTCACAGGAATACATTAGGGACATTTGTATGCTGTAGCATTATGAGGACCCTCCACCGGTGACACCTGAACTCGTCATGGGGGAGGGGGGATCACATGCTTTTGATGTGGGGACCCCTTGACTGCCAGGGCATTATTTGCTTTATTTTTGGCCATGTCTCAGTTGCCCACGTTATACCGTTTAGCATCTGCACCCTAATGTTCTATACGTCATTTGTTTTCAGGACAGATAGGGCTTTCATTTGGTAAGAGTTTTTTGGAAACCTGGGAGCCATGCCTATGGTTGTCAGTTTTGCAATGCCTCATGGGACTTGTAGTTTCACCATAGCTGGAGTGCCAAAGTTTTCTACCCCTATTCTAACATGTTTACACTCCCTTTAACCACCTCCCGTCCACCAAAAGTTGAAAGACGGCCGGATGGGAGTCTCCTGGATGCGGGTGGGCGTCTTTAGACAGCTTTCGTGCCCACGCCCGCCCCCTGGCGTGCACGAGCGGGAAACCGCCTGGATTTTAAACGGCCAGCGATGGCCGTTTACATACAAGCGGTCCAGCGTCTGTAAAGACGCCTGATTGCTTGTATGATGCAAGTTAGGGTGCGCGCGCGCTCCCCCTTACCGCTCATCGCTGTCCCCGCCGCCGCCGTCTGCGCGATCCCGGGCGTTCATCCATCCATCCCGGGCGATGTGGCTCTGTGCACTGAGAACGGAGGGAGATCAGTACGCGATCTCCCTACGCTCTCCTCCCGGTCTCTGAATGCAGGAAGTTATGTATATTACATCACTTCCACATTCCTCTGTCACTCTCCGCTACAGAAACCGGAGAGAAGCTGATGAAGCAGATCTGTGCTTCATCAGCTTCTCTGGGGGTCCCTAGGTGACATTAGGGGTCTTAGAGACCCCTGATGTCTTCATAAAGGGGACCTGTAACTGTAAATTGTTATCACATAATACATTAGGGGTCTTGGAGACCCCTGATGTCTCCATAAAGAGGACCTGTCACATATTTTGCTATCACATAAGGGGGTTTTCTAAGCCCCCTATGTGATAGCAATAAAGTTAAGTGGAAAAACAAAAAATGTAAGTTCCCCCCCCAAAATGTAAAGTTACAAATACAATTTTTATTTTTTTTTAAAGTCCCCCCCATACATACACGCATGCAAACAGGCGTCGGGTGCGCATACGTGCGAAAACTACGATTTCGCCCATTACGCTGCACGTTACATATCGTCGCGAACGCCGGAATGAGAGCAATAGTTCTAGGGCCATCAATCACTGATAACACTAAACTGATGAGCTGTAAAAGCTCATCAACTGGGTATGGTAGTTTTTGCGATTTCGTGGGTGCGTGCAATTTTAAAGCATGACATTTTTGGTGTCTATTTACCCGACGTGACCCCGTCTTTTATATTTTACCAAAAATATGGATAATAATCATTGTTTCCTAATATAATGGAAAAAAAACTTTTTTCCCCCCAAATTTTCAATAATTTTTCCTTAATATAGTAAAAAATAAAAACCGCAGTGGTGATTAAATACCACCAAAAGAAAGCTCTATCTGTCCCCAAAAAATGGTATACAATTAATTTCAGTACAGCGTTGCATGACGGAATAAACGTCAATCAAAATACCGCAGCGCTGAATACTGAAAGATGGCCTGGATGGGAAGGGGGTCTAAACACCTGGTCTTGAAGTGGTTAAAGCCCCCCACCCCCACATAGATGCGCAATAATTCTAGGGCCATTAATCACTAATAACCCTAAACTTTTGAGCGGTAAAATATTTTAAAGCGTCGCCTATGGCCAATTTTGGCTATGGTGTTTTTTTGCGATTTCGCAGGCACGTGCAATTTTAAGGCTTGACATGTTTGGTGTCTATTTTATTTTACCAAAAAATTGGGTAAAAATAAATGTTTCCTAACATAATAAAGGGAAAAACATTTTTCTTTTAAATATTCTGTACTTTTTTTGTTATATAATAAAAAATAAAAATCCCAGTGGTGATTAAATACCACCAAAAGAAAGCTCTATCTGTACCCAAAAAATGGTATACAATGAATTTCAGTACAGCGTTGCATGACGGAATAAACGTCAGCCAAAGTACCGCAGCACTGAATACTGAAAAATGAATGGCCTGGACAGGAAGGGGGTGTAACACCCCGGTCAGCAAGGGGTTAATAGACTGCATCCCAATTGGTCATGTGCACCAACAAGAACACTTTTGCTAGTATGGCAATATTGTTGTTGAATGCAACTGCCCTGGGGACAGGGTCTCTTTAATACGTGCACTACGTGCTGTACAGGAGGCCTCGGGTGATCTACATCCCTTCAGCAGCAACTCTCTACCCCCTATCTATTTTGGGAGCAGAGCAACCAAAATAGAGGATGACAAGCATGCGCACTCGGAATTCAGACGCGGCGTCACGTGCCCTGAGCGGCGCACAGCGGTGACGTGACGGCGAGGCGGTGGAAGATGTCTGAGGCTTCCGGTCGCGCGGCGGGAAACGAAATGCCGGCCAAGAAGCAGAAGCTGAGCAGCGATGAGAACAGTAATCCGGAGCTGTCCGGGGATGAGAACGTAAGAGAGCTGGGGGAGGGAGGCCTGACATAACGCGGGCCCTCTATTAAAGCAGAAAAGCGGCCTGTGTGTGTTATAGGGGACGCTGGGAGAGTTCATACATCCCTGTGGCCGACTGAGGCTGCCTAATGTCTCCGGGGTATTACAAATCCGAGCATAGCCCGCCAGCGGGAGGAGCGGGGCTTGTGCCGGGGTTATATGAGCAGGGGGCAACCAACAACGTCTTAAAGATCTAGGTAGTACGGCGAGCTCCGTAGGGGATGGGACCCCATCACCCCCTTATTACTGTTTGTAGTACAGGGTGATGGAGGATGACCCCCCATCACCCCCTTATTACTGGGTGTAGTACAGGGAGCCCCGTGGTGGAGGATGACCCCCCATCACCCCCTTATTACTGCGTGTAGTACATGGGGCTCCATGGTGGAGGATGACCCCCATCACCCCCTTATTACTGGGTTTAGTACAGGGAGCTCCATGGTGGAGGATGACTTCCATCACCCCCTTATTACTGGGTTTAGTACAGGGAGCTCCATGGTGGAGGATGACTTCCATCACCCCCTTATTACTGGGTGTAGTACAGGGAGCTCCATGGTGCAGGATGACCCCCATCACCCCCTTATTACTGGGTGTAGTACAGGGAGCCCCGTGGTGGAGGATGACCCCCCATCACCCCCTTATTACTGCGTGTAGTACAGGGAGCTCCATGGTGCAGGATGACCCCCATCACCCCCTTATTACTGGGTGTAGTACAGGGAGCCCCGTGGTGGAGGATGACCCCCCATCACCCCCTTATTACTGCGTGTAGTACAGGGAGCTCCATGGTGCAGGATGACCCCCATCACCCCCTTATTACTGGGTGTAGTACAGGGAGCCCCGTGGTGGAGGATGACCCCCCATCACCCCCTTATTACTGCGTGTAGTACAGGGAGCTCCATGGTGCAGGATGACCCCCATCACCCCCTTATTACTGGGTGTAGTACAGGGAGCCCCGTGGTGGAGGATGACCCCCCATCACCCCCTTATTACTGCGTGTAGTACAGGGAGCTCCATGGTGCAGGATGACCCCCATCACCCCCTTATTACTGGGTGTAGTACAGGGAGCCCCGTGGTGGAGGATGACCCCCCATCACCCCCTTATTACTGCGTGTAGTACAGGGAGCTCCATGGTGCAGGATGACCCCCATCACCCCCTTATTACTGGGTGTAGTACAGGGAGCCCCGTGGTGGAGGATGACCCCCCATCACCCCCTTATTACTGCGTGTAGTACAGGGAGCTCCATGGTGCAGGATGACCCCCATCACCCCCTTATTACTGGGTGTAGTACAGGGAGCCCCGTGGTGGAGGATGACCCCCCATCACCCCCTTATTACTGCGTGTAGTACAGGGAGCTCCATGGTGCAGGATGACCCCCATCACCCCCTTATTACTGGGTGTAGTACAGGGAGCCCCGTGGTGGAGGATGACCCCCCATCACCCCCTTATTACTGCGTGTAGTACAGGGAGCTCCATGGTGCAGGATGACCCCCATCACCCCCTTATTACTGGGTGTAGTACAGGGAGCCCCGTGGTGGAGGATGACCCCCCATCACCCCCTTATTACTGCGTGTAGTACAGGGAGCTCCATGGTGCAGGATGACCCCCATCACCCCCTTATTACTGCGTGTAATACAGGGAGCTCCATGGTGGAGGATGACCCCCCGTCACCCCCTTATTACTGAGTGTAGTACAGGGAGCTCCATGGTGGAGGATGACACCCCCCCTCCCCATCATCCTCTTATTGAGTGTAGTACAAGGAGCTCCATGGTGGAGGATGACCCCCATCACCCCTTATTACTGGGTGTAGTACAGGGAGCCCCGTGGTGGAGGATGACCCCCATCACCCCCTTAATATTGGGTGTAGTACAGGGAGCTCCAGGGTGGAGGATGACCCCCATCACCCCCTTATTACTGAGTTTAGTACAGGGAGCCCATGATGGAGGATGACCCCACATCACCCCCTTATTACTGGGTGTAGTACAGGGAGCTCCATGGTGGAGGATGACCCCCCTTATTACTGGGTGTAGTACAGGGAGCTCCATGGTGGAGGATGACCCCCATCACCCCCTTATTATTGGGTGTAGTACAGGGAGCTCCATGGTGGAGGATGACCCCCGTCACCCCTTATTACTGCGTGTAGTACATGGGGCTCCATGGTGGAGGATGACCCCCATCACCCCCTTATTATTGGGTGTAGTACAGGGAGCCCCGTGGTGGAGGATGACCCATCACACCCTTATTTTTTACTAGGTGTAGTACAGTGAGCTCCATGGTGGAGGATGACCCCCCCATCACCCCCTTATTACTGGGTGTAGCACAGGAAACTCCATTGGGATGGATGGATGACCCCCCATCACCCCCTTATTACTGTGTGATGTCTGTAGTACAGGGATCCCCATGGTGGAGGATGACCCCATCACCCCCTTATCACTGTGTGATGTCTGTAGTACAGGGATCCCCATGGTGGAGGATGATCCCCATCACCCCCTTATTACTGTGTGTTTGTAGTACAGGAAGCCCCATAGTAGAGGATGGCCCCATCACCCCCTTATTACCGTGTGATGTCTGTAGTACAGGGAGCCTCATGATGGAGGGGATCCCATCACCCCCTTATTACTGTGTGTTTGTAGTACAGGAAGCCCCATAGTAGAGGATGGCCCCATCACCCCCTTATTACCGTGTGATGTCTGTAGTACAGGGAGCCCCATGATGGAGGGGATCCCATCACCCCCTTATTACTGTGTGATGTCTGTAGTACAGGGATCCCCATGGTGGAGGATGATCATCCCCATTACCCCCCCTATTACTGTGCGATGTCTTTAGGACAGGAAGCCCCATGGTAGAGGATGACCATGTTACCCTGATATTACTGTGTGATGTCTGTAGTACAGGGACCCCCATGGTGGAGGATAACCCCCATCACCCCCTTATTACTGTGTGATATTTGTAGTACAGGGATCCCCATGGTAGATGATGACCATGTTACCCTGATATTACTGTGTGATATTTGTAGTACAGGGATCCCCATGGTAGATGATGACCATGTTACCCTGATATTACTGTGTGATATTTGTAGTACAGGGATCCCCATGGTAGATGATGACCATGTTACCCTGATATTACTGTGTGATGGTGTATAGTACATGGAGATGGGATTGCTGAATCAGCTAATATTTGTAGCCAGGTAGACTATTGTTGGTGTTACAGCGACAGCATCCAGTCAGAGGCAGGCTTTCAGGCAGCTGTGGGTGCCAACTGAGTACAATAGCCGGAATAAAAGATTAGTCTGGAGTCTAAGGCTTCCCTCAATAACAGGCAGTCTTATTTGCAGGAAACGTCCGCCTTATTTTATCACGAATTGGCTGATAACATTTCCCGTAGTGTTTATAACAGGAAAGCAAACCATACAATCCTTGTTATGGACAGTTTTTTTTGGTTTTGCCGTGGTGGTGGTGGAACGCCCTGTATCGCATTCCGGCTGGCTTTCTGCATTCAGGGGGGCATGGCGGTGCATTGATATTAATGGCACCACAGACGCCCCCGCTGCTGTGTGATCGCCTGCACCAGAACACGTGCAACATGCAGCATTTTTTCAGATCGCACTGGACCGGAACGCAGATACTCATGTGCCACACATTCTGGTGCGGGCGATCACACTGTGGCTGTGGTGCCCCATGACTGCAATGCACTGCCCCACCACTGAATGCAGGAAGCCGGCCGGCATGCGATACAGTGCGTTCCAGCAGCTGACCGCTCTGGAACACAATGAGGGGAATTTATCAAAACTGGAGCAGTCAAAATTTGGAGCAGCTGTGTATGGCAGCCAATCAGCTTCTCTGTTTCATTTTCAAATTTTACCTGAGCAAACTGAAGAGAGATGCTGATTGGTTGCCATGCGGCAACTGCTCCAGATTTGATAAATTCCCTCACACTGTTTATGGTGTGAATAAGCCCTTAGCCCGGCTGCTTGCCCGCAGCAAGGCTAAATGTAAAAAAAAACCACTTGCCTGGCCCCCGGAGCTACATGTCCCGGGCATTGGGCGATAGGAATTTGACACCCCTGCAAAGACAATGACATAAGTTTACTAGATGAAAGTTTTGCTGTACTGTTATATAATGGCCAAAGAATGGTTGACGCCTGTTACTTGACTTGTGTCTGTGCCCATTCTTCACAAATTAGTTTTCTTTACTTTGTAATCAGCATTTCCTTTAGTATCGCCAAAAAGATTTGTATCCCTTCATAGGCAGAGCATGTCGTGGGTGAGATCAGAGGATTTAACGGATGACAGGTCCTGTTCTAATTATCTTGTTTACATGAAATATCCTCTGAGATTGCCCCCCGGCAGTGTTCTCATTGTTTGGCGTGGTTTATAGATTTCTCGTTGTGGGTTTTCTGTGATCTCTCGTAGTTTACATACACCACAGATGAATTATCATGCAAATGGGTACTTTTTTATCTGCCTATTCAGCATTATAGACAACGTTCCTGTATTTAGAGGAGAGTCCGAACTAGCCAGCCGTACACTTCTGAATGTGCGATTTCTTTAAAGTATACGCAGTTAGGATTTCGTTACGAAAAAGTTTGTTTGGTTTTCTAATAGTTAATGAGGTGAAATCGATGATCAGTTTCAACTTTAGTGTCGGAAAAAACGAAGGAGGATGGATTGAACAAAACATTTTTTTAACAGTGAATGTCGTTTTTCGTTTGAGGAGCTCCATTCATTCCAAAATCGAATCTTTGAACAAAAGAAACTAAAAAGTAGGGATGCATCAATACGATTTTTTCCAGACTGAGTACTGATACTTTTCTGCAAGTGCTCACTGATAACAATGACCTATACCTCTCTTTTTTTCTTTGCGTGTCGTGACGGTTTTTCTAAAACAATACAGCCTAATGATTTTAGGACGGTGGTGGAGTTCCAGGGCCCGGTTGCAGCTGCAAACGCTGTGCCCCTGGTGGTTC